AGGAGGGCTAAGAAGAAGTCAAGGAAACGCGCAAACAGAAGCTCACTCATTCTGGCAGCATATTCATCATCAGTAGCAAGAAACTTGGGTTGAGTGACTGTTACGTCTGGACTACATCCAGCACCGCTAGTGGCTGCGCTGAAATCATACTGATGAGAGGTGGAGACGACATTTTCGGGAACAAAGCTTCTCTGCTGTTGTTGTTGTTGTAGAGGCGGGCACTGCACGGGACACCAGTAAAGAGAGCCACTATCATTATGATCTTGGAGTTGCTGATCGTGATGCTGCTGACTTCGATGAGAATTAGCCGATGTGAAAGTTGAGTAGTAGATTTCTTGAGCACTTTTCGGTGTCGTAGAAGCTTGGAGACCCATAATTGACGTCAGTGTGCACACAGCATATTCAACAATCTTACTATACGGGTTCTTGAAGGCATAGATGCAACACTTAACATCAACACCCCTATCAAGCTGAGACGTTTCATTATTTGCCGAGGTAGAGGATTTCAAAGGAGGACGTATGTGGAGAGGCACTTCCATCTTTCGACCATCTGATTTCCAAACTGAAATAGAGGAACACAAAAATGTTAGATACTAATCCCAGCATAGACGTTTTCAATAATAATAATAAAATAATTTGAAGTGGTAAGGCATCTATACCAGAAGTGCGCAAACTCCTGTCCAAACACAGCAAAATGGGTTAAGTGAAATACAAAACCAAAATCTTGAAAGTAAATGCATACTCTGCTGACGCGTATGTGATGATAAAAACATGTGCTCACATGGAAGCATGCAAGGGAGAGAGCAGGTACGTGGGTGGAGAGGGAGAACAGACACAGGAGAGGGGCGAGAGTAAGCGCACGTGCGCTTACCAAGCTGGAACAACGTAGACGGGCGAGCACACACCCGCGCACACAATACACACGGCAGAAAATTGCTGCTGTTACCTCCACTCTTGCTCGCCTCACTATGCCGAGAGCACAGGCCCCGGGCGTTATAGTGCGCACGGAATTGTCACTCTTACTTGCGCCTGCGCGCACAAACATAAAATATCGACTTGCGGTTAATACTGCAGTCGGACGGAAGAGGTACGGAGCGAAGCGGCAAGCAGAGCACAAAACCTTTCCAGACGGCAACGTATAAGCGGAGGAGCGCTCGCTCGAATGCAAAAAGACGACACTGAGCTGCTGCTATTCACGATTCCACACATTTTAAGCCCACACGGTTACCACTGCTGCTATACAATGCTACTCAGGAAATGAGAGACAACTTCGCCAATGTGAGTACGCCAGAAGAAACGTTGCAGTACAAGTAATGTAGTGTGGCTAAACTTTCCTTAATATGTATGTGCACAAGGCCAACGTGAACAAGTTGAAGTCATGCAAGCACGCACGACACGCACCAAAAGTGGTTTGTACGTTGACAACGGAAATGGTGGTGTAAACAAGCCACGACAAGAGTGCATTTAATTGGTAATACAATGGCGTGCATGAGAACAAAAGCATTAAGGAAACATTAACACCTCATGCTTAGCGAAAATTCCTAGGACGATGGTCCGAGCTCGGTAAATTTCGACACGGCCGCCGAAAACATACAGCGTAGGGATTGGTTATTAGCCAAGCATTAGAAAGATAGTAGCAAATATGAAAGATTTAAGTTGCCACCGTTTCAACAAAAATGACTGTACATCTATGCGAAGCCGCATTGTTGCAAGGAATACGTTTATTCAGCTTCGAAAGAATTTGCTCGAAAGCATTCAGGTATCAAACCAAACCTATTCAAAGATTTTGGATTCTAAAGAACAAACGGCATTCACTGAAAAGTTGTCTGTGCCTGTGCATTTGAAAGAAATAAGAAACTCTTACCTTGATTGAACACATCACAAAATGAAGAAATTTCGTCGGGGTTAACGATGAGATCAGTGAACTTTGCACCGAGGATGTGTTCAGGAGAGACGGAATTGTATGCGGGAGACGTGAAAACATTGGAGACGCGGTGATCACAAAATGTGATTTGTTTTTCTTCATCCAAACGAACAGTGAATTGATAAGTCCGGTGAGGTGTTAGATCGGCGGCGTTAGGAAGGTTAGTGAGCTGGAGACGAGCCAGTGCCACAAAATACAGAGGATTTGAATGATCGCGCGACGGTCCCGGCTCTTGGATGCCATTGCCTGCGCCGTTCAATCCTTCCGACGTGGCCCGATCTAAAAAAGATCACGCAGGCTTAATAGTTCTGCTAGTCCAAACCCCCTACTGCCGTGAAGATCATCAGGAGAGGTTGAGAGTACACATCTTCACACCTCAATGTATTACAAAAATAACAAGATTCACCTAGGCAACAGATGTGAGTCATGCAACAAGATATTGAGAAATGCGAAAATGAA